AGCCACGTTGTCAGGGCTGGCCGTGAACGCTGAACTCTCAACCTGTGTACATAATAAACATACAACGTAAGGGCTAATGCCTATCCCTAACCCTAATCCTAACCCAAACTCTAACCCTAACCCTAACAACATCTGCAGGAGTTCTCGTTGGGAAGCCACGTTGTTTGGGCTGGCTGTGAACGCTGAGCTTTCATAAACATAATTAACACACAACGTAAGGGCTAAAGCCTAAGCCAAACCCTAACCCTAACCCTACCCCAACGCTAGCCCAAACCCAAACCCTGACCCAAACCCTAACCTAACCCTTACCCTAACTAACCCTACCCCGACCCTAACCCTAGCTCTAACCCTAGCCCTAACCCTAACCCTAGCCCTCACCCTAACCCTAGCCCTAACCCTAACCCTAACCCTAACCCTAACACTACCCCCAACCCCAACCCCAACCCTAACCCTTACCCTAACCTAACCCAAACCCACCTGTATGAGTTCCTGCTGGCTCTGGCTGGCTGAGACCGGTTCCTTCAGCTCCTGCCGCGCCGCCTTCTCCTTGTTCGACACCCGGTTGCGCCGGCCGACAGACACGCGGCTCCGCAGGCTCGACACGGTCGAAAGTGTTGCCAGCGCCTCGCCCTCGGGCTTCAGGAGCGTTGCCATGGTAACGGGGCAGCCGTCGTGCCCGGGCGTCTGGATGATGCCGCGGAGGTGCTTCTCCACGTGCCGGTCCAGACGCTGCTTCTTGTCTATGGAGTAGGAGCACAGGTGGCACTTGTACCGCTTGTTCTGAAGCGTGCCCTCCGCAGGGTCTGTGGGCTGCTGTAAGGATATGTATATCATTTAGATTTGTTACATTGTTACAGTTTGTTACATTAGATTTGCTACATTTTGTACATTCCTTACAGTTTGTTGTGTCATTCGAAGAGGTGGCACTTGTTCTGCAGCATGCCTTCTGTAGGCAGCATGCCTGCTGTAACTTGTGTAATATCTGACGTTTCATTCATTGTATTTGCTACATTGTTACAGTGTGTGTAGTTTAGAAAGAGGTGGTAATTGTAGCACTTTACTCCCTCAGTCTTTTCTGAAGTAAAAAACCCCCAGCCTCTGAACTGCTGCAATTGTTGACTCAACAATGTTTATACTAGCACCTATCCTCTATCTCTATTTCTACGTCCTGACTACAACTCTCTCCTTTTTCTCTCTTTCTCTCTCTCTCTCTCTCTTTCTCTCTCAACAACAACTCACCTGTACAGCATCAGTACTAGTCCCAGCCTGCTCCCCCCCTGTACCAGCAGTGTTGGTAACCCAGGGGTGTTTTTTCTGCATGTGAGCCTGGAAGTTGCCCTTCTGCTTGTACACTCTTCCTTTTCTCTCTCTCATTCATTCATTCCTTCTTTCTACATAACAACTCACCTGCACAGCATCAGTACTAGTCCCAGCCTGCTCCCCCCCAGTACCAGCAGTGTTGGTGACCCAGGGGTGCTTTTTCTGCATGTGAGCCTGGAAGTTTCCCTTCTGCTTGTACACTCTTCCTTTTCTCTCTCCCTCACTCCCTCATTCATTCATTCCTCATTACATGTAAGAACTCACCTGTACAGCATCAGTACTAGTCCCAGCCTGTTCCCCCCCTGTACCAGCAGTGTTGGTGACCCAGGGGTGCTTTTTCTGCATGTGAGCCTGGAAGTTTCCCTTCTGTGTGGCTGTGTACAGACAGTACTGACACTTGAATGGCCTCTCGCCTGTATGCTGCAGCATGTGCTGCTGCAGGCATCGTTTGAACGGGGTGGAGTAGCTGCAGTGTTCACACTTAAACGGCTTGTCCTCCTGCAAGTAAACATGAAGAATCTTTACTACAACTGTTACATGTATAAACTATTACAGCAGCCTGTATAAACTATAACATCATCACCCCTATGCAAGCGCCATCCGTAGCGAAGCCGCATTGCACAAGCATAGCTCATAGCAAAAGCATGATATCACGCTTCACCTCTGACTTAACAGAACAGAAACAGGGGAAGGGCTGCTAGAAGCATGATGTAATTCTATCTATCCGGTTTATCGTCTGTTGTTCCCTGTAACGAGGGTTAGACTTGCTTGCATATCGATGCTGGGGCTTGATGGTAGCTTGCCATTTGCCTCTGCTCTGTGGTTCTTGGGCGCAGCAAATTTCAATTATGTTTAAAGTTATGGTAAGATAAAATTAGATTTTCATACCTTATGAGTTTTCATGTGCAGATACAACCCTGTAGGGTACTTGAAGCACGAGTCACACAGCTGGCACTGGTAGGGTTTGTCGGAGCGGTGTTTGCGAGAGTGGGAGCGCAGGCTGCTCTTGGTGGAACAGCGGAACCCACACTGCTCGCACATGTAGGGCTTCTCCTTGGTGTGCGTGCGCACGTGGATCTTCAGCTTGTCCGAACGCTCGCAGGCGTAGCTGCAGTACGGACAGGTAAACGGCTTCTCACCTGGGGGAGGAATAAAACATAACATTCATGGATTTCAAACTACTAGGATATTATAGCTGTCATTTTTTTCTCAATACTGTAAGCATAGTTTGCTACAATTGTAAAATTAATGAAAATTCAATCAGGCACAAACTACTTCAGACAGGCTTCTCACCTGTAGAGGAACAAAACATAACATTTAGGGATTTCAAACTACTAGGACGTTGTGTATAGTGTCATTTCTTTCTCAATGCTCTAAGCATAATTAGCTAGGACAGCAATCAGGCAAATACCACTGATATCAGTCTGCTATTATCTGGTACAATAAATAAGTTCTGTCTTAGCCATTTCCTTGAAGATAATCCCTCAGTATTGAATATCAAAGCAACTTTGATAAACTCTCTTTTCTGAGATTGGACCTACATGTAACTTTTATATTTACATTCTTTTGCATACAGAAGACAGTTAAGACAGTGGAGTCAAGTATGACAGATAACAAAGACTCTTTCAGTGATAGGAAATTGTCATTTGTTCAAGCCATCTCCTCGAAGATGGCCCTAAAATCTTAGCCATCTTCTCGAAGATTACCATAATGTCTTTTGAATTTTAGACATTTTGTTGAAGATGCCGCTAATGTCCTACAACTCTGAGCCATTTTCTTGAAGCTGCCCACCTGTGTGAGACATCTGGTGTATCTTGAGCTGGTTGGCCCACTTGCAGGTGTAGCCACACTCTGAGCACAGGTAACGCCTCTCATCCTCATGTACACGCTGGTGAACATGCAGCTGGCTCACCTCCTTAGCAGAGTAGTTACACTTGTCACACCTAGACAACAGGACAGAAACTTTCTTAGCAGCATATCTTTCTGTTTTCAACTTGATTTGCACCAAACGATGATCTGAAAAAAGTAAACATAACCTGGGAAGAGGCTGAGGAGGCAGCAGCCACTAGACCTAGATGGTGGATTGCTGCCCAATGTGCCTGTAGGCACAGGAGAGCCTAAGGTCTAAGGTTAAGGTCTGCAGCAAAATCATTACCAAACACAACCAACCTGATTTATTTCATTTATATCTTTAATGAAAAAACTTGCTAAGTTATTTCTAAAACAGTAAAACAGTTTTAAAACATCATAAGTTAGGTAAAAACAGTAACACAAGTAACAGTCAGGGTGTTGTAATGGTAAGTAAACAGTATGCACCAGTATGTACTACATGTAATGTACATACTTGTACGGCGTGGCTGTAGAGTGGACCCTGCGCATGTGCCTGGCCAGGAGGCAGCGTTTGGTCTGTGAGAAGTCACACAGCTGGCACTGGAACACCTTCTCAGGCTTGGGCTGTTTGTGCTCCGCGTTCTGATGCTTCTTCAGCAGCAGCTCATGCCCACACGTGAACTCACACTGGTCACATCTGGGGGGAGGGGGACATTAGAATGAAAAAAACATGTAGCTATACCTATCACTTAGCAAAAAATGCCTTGTGATATTTTCCTATGCTATTCTCATATAACGGTATCTAGCCTTGAAATCAAATCCCTGATTGGGTGTTAACTCTTGCCCAATGACATCAGACTGAAGACAAAACAGAAAAAGGTATTTTTTGCTTCCACCATATGACTACAGGAAAAAAAGGCAGATCATTATCTTCTACATGTAATCTTTGTCCTTCGACCAATGTGGCAATGATAACCCTTGACCTCCTGAACTTACCTGATGCTGTCCCCATCAAGTAATTTTTTACCATGCAACCTTTGCTCTTTGATCAGCCCTCAACCATAGCTTAACTTCCCTCTCCTTTCTTCATATCATAGATCAAAGTTGTAGGTTCTGATAATGTAACCTTTGTTCTCTAACCTTGCTGACCCTTGCACCTTGACCTTACCTGATGTCGTCCCCATCAGAGTGCAGGTCCAGGATGTGTTTCTGCAGGTAGTTCTCGCTGGAGGTGGAGAACGGACACCGGTCACACTTGTACATGGTGCAACCTTTACCCTCTGACCCTGCTAACCCTTGACCTTACCTGATGTCGTCCCCGTCAGAATGCAGGTCGAGGATGTGTTTCTGCAGGTAGTTCTCGCTGGAGGTGGAGAACGGACACCGGTCACACTTGTGGGTCTTGTGAACCTTCTTATGTTCCTTCAGCTCCTCATAGGTGTCAAACTCCTCACTGCACTTCAGACACACCTGGGGGAATGTAGAAAACAGTGGTTGATAATCTGTTTTCTAGATCAGAGGGTTGGAGTTCAAATCCCAGAATACACCTTGAAATTACTGGTGCAATGGCCCAGGGGGTACAGTGTTCACCTTGCATTTGAAGGTTAGATACAGTGAGTTACACATGTCCAGATACCCATGTAAGAATTACTCAAAATTATGGCATATATAATACATTACATGGTGAGAATAAACTCTTAGAGCTCTGTCCTGCTACAAAATGTAACCCAACACCACAGGGTGTCTACTACAGCACTAGTTACCATGGTGACAGACGTCTGGTCCAGGTCATTGACCTTATTTGTTTGGAGAAGAAGAAGAAGAAACAGCAAAAACAATATGTTTTCTTCTGCCAAAGTAAACATAACAAATTGAAGCTACCTTAGCCTTGTGCTCATCAGTGTTGTGTTTCCAAAGCCCGTAGCGACTGTTGGCCACGTAGCTGCAGCCATCGTTCGGACACTTGAGGTCCTCGGGGTCGCGCTTGCCGCGGTGCATGGTCATGTGACGGTTCAGATGGGCCTGGGAGTTGAACCGGCCATCACAGGTCGGACAGATGAACTCCAGGTCACCTGAGTGCATGTTCTGGGCAAGAAAAATGTGCGTATGAAGATTAGAACATGAACAGCTGCGTGGTTAAAAATTCTAATGATCATGAATCAATCGCTGTAATTCTTTCGTCATTAAATCATAAAAAATGACTTACTTTAGCCTTATACACATAACTAGATATGCTACTTTTTTAAGTTCGGTAGATTTTTACTGCACATGAAAATCTATTATCAATGGTAAGAAATCTAAGAGTCTGTATATGTATCTTGGTACACACAGTTCCAGGGAGTGAATTTGGTTCGACCTTTTCTCCCATCTCTCAGTTTTCCTGATCTTGACTTTTTACTTCATTTTACAATCTTTTACTTCAAAATTTCTGAGAATCACAGAAATTGAGTGGTCTGGCAGCCTTTTTGCACTCACCTTGACATGCCTGTTGAGCGAGGCCTGGTCGAAACACCCATACTCACACAGGTGACAGACCTGTTTGACAGGTATCCTTAACATTAAAATCTAAAACACTACTATTACTACAGCCACTACTTAGTTCTTAGCACCAAAACACTAGCCATAGTCCTCACCTTGACATGCCTGTTGAGTGAAGCCTGGTCGTAGCAGCCGTACTCACACAGATCGCAGCAGTGTGTCGGCTGGCCAGAGTGGCACAACTCTACTGATGGACTACTAGCACCTCTACTGTGGGACTACATGTGTACTAGCACTAGTTACATACATAATTACTATTCCTCACCTTGACATGCTTGTTGAGCGAAGCCTGGTCGTAGCAGCCGTACTCACACAGATTGCAGCAGTATATTTCAGGTATCCCTAACATTAAAATCTAAAACACTGCTAGCACTACAGCCACTACTTAGTACTTAGCACCAAAACACTAGCCATAGTCCTCACCTTGACATGCCTGTTGAGTGAAGCCTGGTCGTAGCAGCCGTACTCACACAGATCGCAGCAGTGTGTGGGCTGGCCGGAGTGGCGCAGCTCGTGCTGCTGCAGATGGTGCTGCGTGGTGAAGCCCTGCCCGCACTCCCCACACTTAAACTGACGGGACTCATCATGCTGGGCCATGTGTTCGGTTAGGCGGTACTTCGCAGCTGTAAGAAAAGGGGAAAAGTGTTACACACTGAAAAGGTAACAATTGCAAAGCAAATGCATAATGTTTACCTTTGGACATGGTCTGCTCTGTTAATTCTTTCTCAAACACATTCACATACATGTACTGCCAGTATATGGTGACAGGAGCAGAGCAGACCATTACATTGGAACATTATGTAACCCTACACCAATCACCATGGTGACAGACAACAACAAATCATGTCATTGGCCAGGTCAGAGGTCACCGTTTGGAGAAGAAGAAGAAGAAGAGGAAGAAACTGAGCAAAAACGAAGAGGAAGAAACTGAGCAAAAACAAAGAGGAAGAAACTGAGCAAAAACAATATGTTTTCCTTCGGTTGACATAACCAGAAAGTTAACATTTTCAAAGCAAAATACACACATGTACAGCAATGTCTACCTTGAACATGTTCTAGCCCTACAAACTACTGCTCTGTTTATTCTTGATAAACACATTTATATAGTACTTCTTCTTCATATCCACATACATGTATGTGGTAACCAGTTTCTCTAACTGTCCTGCTACAAATTTTTCATATGTCTACAAGGGAAGCTGTGATTGGCCCCATTATTACATTATGCAGCAATGAAGTGTTTATGGAACAAATTAAGCAATTAATTACCAATCAAATGACCAATTAATCTATAACCTTTACTAATTCCATCTCAAAAACTACATCTTTTTTTCAAGCTTGTCATAATATGGTGTCCAATTCATTTGCCATGTTGGCTGGAGCAAATAAACATAAATACATGATTGTACGGTCCCACGAACAAAATGTGCAGCTTGCACAACCACTACCTTAGAGATATATCTTGCCTATGGTGTTGATTGCACTCTTCTCTACCTGTAGGGTTTCTCATTAGTAAGCTTCAGTCCTAAAGAACAGCAGTGTCTTAGCTGACATGAGGCTGTACTCTATGCAGTAGTGTGGCTAGTGGAGGTTCCACACAGGCTGCCATTAACAATTTAAAGCAGATAGTTATTTTATCTACTAGTAGTTACATCTACATGCACATGTAGGTCCATAGTTAAACCCCCTTTTTTCCCCTCATTCAGACACTTACAGGATTGCTGTAGTCTGCCTAACAGATGATTTTAGATTCACTTACATCCAAAGGATTAATCTAACAGATGTTCAGGTGTTACTAGGCTTCATACTAGTAGATAACTGTCCCAATATCTCAGATTTTGATCCTGTAGCTTGAGTAACTGTTTTCTTGTGTATCTCATTTTCTGGATGGACCTTCATCGACGTGTCCCAATATCTATTGGTACATGTAATAGTAGAAGTAACAAAAAGAGTGTAAAATATGGCACAGAAACTTTCCCTGGTCACTCTTCATTATGAATCTATCATTTTGTATATCATATATTTGTTGCCTGAATTTTCTTTGTTTTTTATGTAAGTTGATGTTCTGCCAAATGTGACAGTAGAAATAAGACCAATTCAGCTTGCTATACATGTACATGTACCTCATGCTGCGAGGCTGATTTTCTTAATAAAACTGTGAGCTACCACCCCTGTAACCCACCTGTCTGGAAGTCACACTCCTGACACTTGTAGGGTTTCTCCCCAGTGTGGGTCCTCAGGTGGGTCTGCAGTGCTCGGTCCTGGTAACATGTGAAGTCACACTGGCTGCACTTCAGGATCTTCCTGCAAGGGGGCAGTGCACACCATCAGTTCCAGGGCTCATTGAAAAGTCACTAAACTTTTGCATTTTTTCAGTCACCTCATTCTTAGTCACTGATGAAAGATACAAGATCTGAAATGTCTGACTTCAGAGATTTTACATTGTTCCAAGTTGCTTGACTCATATTGTATAATGCAGGAAGAATTCTGCGTATTTGCTAATTATACATGTATGAAGCACATTGAGTGCAAAAAAAATACAAAAAATACAACAAAATAGGAACTTCATACAAAAATTCTGGGGTACCATCCAACAATTCATCAACCTAGCAACATGGCAAATTTCCAAGTTGTGAGCTTTAATACTAGATTTTGATAACTTTAATAACCTACTAGTAATAATAACTGAACTTACTTGTGTACATACGGCCTCCTCTTGGCTCCAGGTTTGGGTCCAGGTTTGGGCCCAGGTTTGGGCCCAGGTTTTTTCTTGACTGCAGTACTGATGCTGATGGGCCCCTTGATGCGGTGGTATTTGCGCAGGTGAGTCTCCAGGGCGCGCTCCTGCTTACAGGTGAAGTCACAGTGTTCACACTGCAGCCCTGCAGACCTGCAAGACAGCGCAGCAGGCTCAGTACTCCGCCTGGTGCACAGGAACAGGGTTAATATGAATGCAGTAAAATGGCTGAATTTTAGGTGAAGTTGATAGTACTCGGTACTCCTCCTGCACCTATGAGATGGGGTTAATGAGTGTGCAGGTACAATATAACAAAGTATCACAGACTCTGCTCTTTGCCTGAGCAGCTACATAACAAAGACATTGCAGCAGCTGACTCAGTACTCCTCCTACAGCAAGGAGACAGGGTTAATGGGTGTACAGGTATAAACATGTACAATATAACAGTTTATCACACCACCATAAAGTGTCCCTGACTCTTCCACTCAGCCACACAAGACATACCAGCTAAGTATTCCTCCTACATCAATGAAACATGGTTAGGGGTAACAGGACTATTGTTTACGCTTATTGTTTATGGTGTACATGTTACATGTGTGCTTGCCTGTATGTAGGTATTTCAATATAGTAGAGTGGCAAGAAGTGAGGGGGAAATTGTGTAACCCCAGACTGACGGGAAAGTCGAACCAAAGGTCAGAATGGTCTCCCTACACAGTACAGGCTGGGAGCAAGTGACACTGGGATATGTACAGAATCAGCAAGAAATTCACAATTATGAACAAGAAATTCACAAGAATTATATCCCAGACGTGTGAAATATCTGCTTCCTTGTTGTCCTTGTTACTACAGGTACTACTGAATCAGTGTTCCTCACCTGGGCGTGTATTTCCTCCTCTTGGCTGCAGGTTTGAGCTCCTCGTCCTCCGCATAATCCTGGTCTGCCTCATCATCATCATCACCTGAGTCCAGCAGCTGGTACCTGGGGGGGGGGTAAAGTTTCTTACCTTTAGGGAAAGGAGAACTTACATGCTACAATATAGTTTCGAAAGAAAAAGTTTGAGACTTTAAACTCGGAGGTGCCAGTAGTCAACATTTTTCTGTTGACAATCATGAAGTTAGTTTGTTATAAGGGTTCATGGCAGACTCCCGGGTGACTGTGACCCACGGGTAGAGTCATGTGGTCATTAGAAGTGTGTCATTCTGCTTGAGAAAGACTTTAATATTGGTCAAAATTAGGTGTTTCATCTAAAAAGTTTGGGACAATGTATTTGCTTTGTTCCTTAACACATGAAAATTTAAGAAAATATCTTAAGATGTGTGCCGCGCCCCATCTTGAAGCTAGCAGCTTCTTAAGTCTCACCTCCTCCTTTCTTTCTTGCGCAGGTTCATCTGAAGAGTCTTCTCCCCCTCCTCCGGGGCGTCTTCCGCCAGTAGGTGCTTCGTTAGCATCCGCTTCGTCAGCAGGGCTTCACTCTCACTTTCTGCTTCACTTTCGCTTTCAGAGCCATACTCTACATCGTTGTCATGGTCGTCATCATCTCGCTCCTTCTTAATGGCCGCCTCAGCTCGGGTTTCACC